AATGGCCATTCATTCCAAGTGGATTTCACTGATGACGACAACAGCTCAAGTTAGTTTATTACTGCTCTTTGTGCTTATTTTCAATCTCTTAAAACAATTATTAAGATACAGCTGAGAATGTATTAATTTTGTTTATTTATTTGCATTTTACCTTGGCATAGTCACACTTTCATATTTATCAACATTCTGGGGATTTTGTCAGGGCAATATTTGGCAACACTTTTTGAGCATGTCCTTCTTAAAATATTCATCTTTTGTCCTTGAACCCATAACAAGTGTAACAAATCTGCCCAAAAAAATACTGCAAGACTTTCTTTGCATATCAAATACTAAAATAAATAAAATATGCAAGAATATAAACATCTCAATATTTAACTACTGTGAAAGTCCTCTTCCACGCCTTCTCCTTCCCTATTTCGATTCATCACTAACTTAATTTGTTAACAACTCCAGGGTGACTTATAGTGCTCAAGTCCTCTCCATTTCGGACAGTAAGGATTGCGTGAACTTATGGACTCGTGCGTTTCTATTATTGTGTCCTTGCTTGTACACTAGAGCTTTGCCTCATTGAAATTCCTTTCAGTTTACTCCAATTTATCTCGTACATGAAATCTTTAAATGATGTAAAACTGCTATATGAGCAGCGAATGTGGATGTGTCCCTTCCTCTGCTAGTGGAAATCAGGGTCTTAGAGCTCTGTGTGCTCAAGTGCTAATGCATTCTATTATGAGAGAATGAAAGAATGGAGCCACATATGTATGCCATGGTCGCTCAATGAGAGCAACATGTGCTGAATTTTAATGACCATTTCAAGAGGGGACTCACAGCACACATATGCTTGGAAAATACACGTTTTAAAGAGTGCTACAGAAACACTATAAAAAACTCTTAACAATAACACTTGCATACAAAATGCTTGCTGAAAAGAGATTAAAGAAGTAGCTATATTGATTTATTAGGTGGTGAATATTGAACAGCATGAATTTTTGATTTGTGGTTGCACCTCCTCTTTTGTTGTTAGAGCATCTCTTTTCTTAATTTTTTGAATATTGAACACCCCAAATAATATCCTAAGTAGTCCACTCACATTAACATTGCCCAACAGGCAACCTGTCAGTCTACCAAGTAGGAAGTAAAGGATTGCATGTCACAGTCATTAAGGATGCATAATATACAATATGATCTGATATTAGAGATTTTTTTTAATTCCTTATTTGTATTTATTTATTATTATTATTAAATAGAATATATTTTTATTATCGGCCGATATTTCTGCATGCTAATAATGAATCTCAAAATGAATATCCAATTTTAATAATGTACATTATAATGCTGTAATCCCTAAATTCACTGACAAAAAAATTATATCGGCCATTAATTATTGGTTACCGGCTGTAACATGTAAATAATATTTGCTTATAGATATCTGTCAACATTTCTATCCGGTTGTTAAGTCGTGACGTAACCACTCTCCGATAATACTGTTTCCGGGTCCAAAGGCCGGGTCCTCTCTACCTACCTACCGCTTTCGCCCGAGTTTTAACGTGTTCCCGTGTTGTTTAAATAGATCGGAGTTAAAAAACAAGTGACATTCAACTGTCATTCTACCGCTTTCCCTGTGACGAGAAAGATAAGAGAAAATGGCTGCAGTTGATAAGGTAAGTTACAAATCTTAAACGAATGAAGAAACTTTGGCGCCAGTGGGTGCTATCCCTTAATCCCTAGTAACACCCACTGGCACTGAAGCGAAAAAAGCCCTTAAGAAAAGGGTTTATTTAGTCTAGGATCTGGAGTGGACGAGCAGAGCGCTTGGGCCCGGAAGAGGCTAAACGTCACGCGTGACGTCAGACTTAACAACCGAATACGCATCTTACATTTAATGCTTAAGAGATTGAATCTGAAATACAGTTGTACCATTTTTTTTCTGACTAATGATTTAGTGCTGTTAAAGAAACAACTGAATGATTGGAATAATTGTTTTATGTAGCTCTGGCTGGAGGCCCCGTGACAGGGGTTTACAGGTTGAGACAGTTCCATTTCCATTGGGGAAGCAGTGATGACAAGGGCTCAGAGCACACTATTGCTGGAACCAAGTTCCCCTGTGAGGTAATGAGGCTTTCATATTCCTGCTCCCAGTACCATACATTACAACCAAAGCAACCCTCATTCCTCTGTGTTGTGGTACAGACCGTTCTAATTCTTAAACGTCTCTCTTAAAACTAATTATAGCTCACTGCTCATGAATATTCTTGATGTTCTCTCATGAATTTGTAAATCCCCTCTTTTAAATAAGCCAAGATTTTAAGCTAATTCAGTAATTTTATCGATGTTTCATAACACGTCTCCTCCTTTCTAAAGCTTCATCTCGTTCACTGGAACACCAAGTACCCAAACTTTGGAGAAGCTGCCAGTAAGCCTGATGGCCTTGCTGTGGTTGGAGTTTTTCTCAAGGTCAGGATTTAGCCAAAATCATTTCAAGCATTGCAGTGATTAAATGATATAAAATGATGGATATATGATATATTGTGTGGTTCTGTTTACCAGATTGGTGCTGCCAATCCAAGACTTCAGAAAGTTCTAGATGCTCTGGATGACATCAAATCAAAGGTATCAACAGTAGCAGTCATTTTTAGTCTTATGAATTAGTATATTTACTCCTCTCACTTGCCCTCAGATGTTTTTATTCTTTTACACTATGTCTGTTTCTTCTCCAGGGCAGACAGACTACATTTGCCAACTTTGACCCTAAAACCTTGCTGCCCACATCACTGGATTTCTGGACTTATGAAGGGTCTCTGACCACGCCCCCTTTGCTCGAGAGTGTCATGTGGATTGTTCTGAAAGAGCCAATCAGTGTTAGTCCTGCTCAGGTACTTTATGCATCTATGCTTTTTACACTCTTATACTTACGATTACAGACAGGGACTTCTACTTCTATAGACTTTAGTCATTATCTAGGGATAAGGACTAAAGGATAAGGACTTTATCTTGGGATAAAGATAAGGACTATAGTCCTTAACTTTAGTATGATATTTTGAGTCATCATAACATCATTTTGTCATTTTGTCCACACAAGTTTTGTTAATTTGGAAGAGGAACATGTTTAATAAAGTTTTGCTACTTGGTTGAGTTGAAAAGTTAATAAATACCTAAACAAATACTGTCTGCTTACATATGATAGCACAAATAGGGTCTCAACTTTTAACTTCACTCCTACTTTAAAACTGGGAGGGTCGGTGCTCCATACAGTAGGTTCCTGCTTCTACAAGATTACTTTATCTTAAATATATTGCTTGCCTGACAGCCAATATCACATTTAAGTCAGGCTTGTGCCTTTAAGATAGAAGCCTACACCCTTACATTCAGTACTGGAGAGGAATTAGGGCTTCATTGGAGTCTAAATATTGTTATTATACGTTTTATTCATTCAAGGCTTTATTTTGACCTGTTACTGTCTGAAGCTTTTTATATCACATAAATATATATCACGCCAAATGAATATTACTCAGTTTAGCAAGACGAGGAAGTGTAATTATAATTTTTAAAAAACAATTAGTATTCTACATACACCAAAACACAAATTCTGGACACTGCCGAAAAAAGAAAAATTAGACTTTGTTTGAACTAAATATATTCAAAATATACACTACAATTCCAATGTTTGGGGTCAGTAAGATTTTTTGTATTCACCTCAGTACCAAATCAGCATATCATTTCTGAAGGATCATGTGACACTGAAGACTGGAGTAATGATGCTGAAAAGTCAGCTTTGCCATCACAGGAATATTGCATTTTTTAAATGTATTAAAATAGAAATTAGAAAACAATTATTTTGAATTGCAATAATATTTCACAATATTACTGTTTTCTCTGGATTTTTTAATAAAATAAACGTACCCTTGGTGAGCACAAGACTTCTTTCAAAAATATTAAAAATTCTTACCAACCCCAAACATTAGTGTATACTTGCTCTTCATTAAGGTTGCATTACTACCATAACATTTAGGCTCGAACAACTAAAAGATTGCTCAACCATCACAGACCACATGCCGTGTGTTAATCGTCTTCTGATGCCTTTATGCTCCTTTTCCCAAAATGTGTCTGAGCTAAATATGGTGTAGCACAAGGATTAAGAAGTTTTAAAGCTTGTCTTGAAAATTCTGCATCAGCAGCAGGACCATATCGACAGTGACATAATGTTTTCAAAAAAAAATTGCCCTATTCATTACTGTCCGTCCCTGGTGTAGGCAGTGCTTTTAGCCTGAAGTGGTTATTTTAGTCTCCAGTGGTTAGTCAGAAGAGTCTAACGGCTGCACAAGTGCTCTATGAATGAGCATGGAGCTAAATATAGTAAATATAGGGTGTAATAAGGCTCTGCAAGACTGCCAACAACAGACTAAACACCAAAATCCAAGAGAAAACAATCTAACTGTCTCTCTCTCTCTCTGTCTGTTCTTTAGATGGCTAAATTCCGTAGCCTGCTGTTCACACCGGAAGGAGAGTCACCTTGCTCCATGGTTGACAACTTCAGACCCCCTCAACCTCTCAAGGGACGCAAAGTCCGTGCGTCCTTCAAATAAATTGCTGCATCGAAGCCACAACCCTCCCACTTGCCTTCTGCTTTTGACTGGTTCACAAAAACATTCCCAGTGACATTGCTACTGAAACATCACAGTATTTGTTCTCAATCCAGGCCCTTGCTTACATTGCAGTGGATCTAATCTTCTTAAACTGTCTGTTTGTCATAAATGCCCCTATTATGACTTAACATTAGGAATAATATTTAAAGTGCTTAAACAGTGGTTAGTTACCTACATTTTCCTGGACAAATGGGAAAAATTTAAATCCCAGTTAAGTTTTGATTGCTTCACTTTGCGCTTTTTCTAGATTTGCCGGAATTGCACTATACGCCATGTTATTCAATAGGAAAGACATTATGGTTCTGTTTGGGTTTATGGCAATGTGTGAATATTTCAGCTAAATGTGTGAATGACCAGATGAGTTGAAACTGAACTACCTACAGAAAACCACTCACTAAATGCAACTTGTTGGTAAAGTGATTTACTAAGAGGAATTCCAATGGATTTGCTTTTAAAGATTGCTTCTAAGAATGATGTAACATGATGTTCTGCAGTAGGTATACCATACTAATAAAGATTTCTTAGAATTAAAAGTTAATTGAGCAATATTGCAAACAAATATTATATGTAAATTAGTCATGTATTAGAAATATTATCAGCAATAAATAAATATATTTTAAACTACACTTCCTGTGATTGTTTTCTGTCCATTGCACAATGAATTACGTTAGTGACACAAACTGATATTGAGATCAGCTTTGATACAGAACTGAGGATTTGATAACACAATATAATACAATAAGATCAAATTCAATTGACATTAGTTAATCAAATTAGGTATCATATTTTAACAATGGACAATTTTTTTTACAGCATTTAAAGTTTAATGTTACTTATTAATACACATGTATTGTTCAATGTTATTAATGTTTGATCATAATATAGTATTGTTAATTTATACACAAATGTATTAATTTAACTTTAAATGTTAAAAATGTACTCTACTGTACATCCTTCAAAAATTGAGTTGGGGGGTATTTTTTAAATAAATACTTTTATTCAGAATTCATTAACTTGATCAAAAAGTGACAGTAAAGACATTTATAATGTTACAAAAGCCTTGAAAAAAAGTTATTGTCCTTTAGAAGTTTCTATTCATCGAAGAAATAAATTGTTTCACAGTCTTCACAGAATATATTAAGCAGCACAACTGTTTTCGATATTTATAATAATAGAAAATGTTTCTTGAGCACCAAATCAGCATACAAATGATTTCTGAGGGATCATGTGACACTGAAGAAAGGCTTTGCGATCAGAGGATTAAATTACATTTGAAAATATAGGCTATTAAAAATAGAAATAGTCATTTTACATTATTGGTGAGAAAAAGGGACTTAAAAAAATATGAAAACATTAAAAAATCTTACTGACCCCAAACTTTTGAATTATGTGGTAATTATACTAATATATTTCACATTATTATAATTCAAAAAAATAATGAACAATAGTATACTTATAAATCAACATTCAACAAAAGCCCAATATTCTGGTAATCTGAAGTTGTTAGCCCTGTTATTCAACAACATTTAAGACCAGTTCCTGCGCTTTTTTGTCCTGTGCAAAAGAGCTAGGCCTAAATAACAGATTCAGAGAAGAAGCTGAGCAAAGAAGCCTTACTGCAGACCACCAAACCTTTTAGTTTTAACCAACAAAACCTGCTTTGCTTTTCACACGGCCTTTTGACAAATATATAGAATTAATCTCTTCTTCATTCTAATTTCTGCTACTGTGGTTTGAAGTAATTATCACGAACCATTTCAGCAGTAAAAGAGGAAATTTGTAATGTGAGAACATTCAAGATCAATATCTGTCAAGCACTCTCCGGTTGTCAGTTCTGTGCTCTGTTATCATGGATAAATAATGAGATCATTACCCATAGATACTGTCATAGAGGCTGAGAGAGGCCTTTATCTTGAAAGCTGGCACATCACCACAAATGAGCGCAGTTTTGGATGCCAGTCAGTGTCTCATTAACACATGGCTAATGCTCTTTGTCAGTATCCAGCCTTACGCAACCCATGCTTTGCTGGGGACACGCTTCGTTCTTGAATCTGGGTTGGCATCATCTAGTGGTACAAAGCAGACAACATTTGGTGGTACAATCCACTGCAGTTGCCTTGCAGAGAAACCCTCAACACAAGATCTTCTTGTGAGCTTGAGTGCTAAATTACTTGTTAATAATAATCGCTTTCCATCTGCAGCTTAGTACAGTTTGTCTAATGGCTGCTCTCATGAAAACATTCTGGCTTGAAAACAAACAGAAGTGCAATAACAAAATGGAAAGTAGATGAACACACCAAGCATGAGTTATAGATGAGAGCACAGCAAAACACTGGGATTTTCAGTGATACAGAGATGATAAGGTGAACACAGGTTTGAAATCAGAGGATAGAGAGAGCCAATAGAGGAAGGGAGGAGGAGTCTGAAAAGCAGGAGATGAAATGGCAGGGAATACCAAAAAAAGCAGAAAGGAAACAAAAAGCAAATATAAAGGCTCTTTCTTTTGAGTTCAGATCATATGTGTAACAACCACATGCTTAAGTATTTTAAAGCTGATGCTTTATGCCATGTAAATTAAGCTGGTGACAGATTAATGATTTTTTCAAAGACATACAAGCCTGCAATCCATACACAACTGCATACTATTAGCATCTAGCACATCATTAGACATATAGCAAAGCAAAAAGTGAAATGCTTGATAGATACGTTCAAGGCTGTTGCTCTTATCACAGCGTGTTACAATAACTTCCGCATGACACCACAAATAATGCCTATGCCACAGTGGTACAGTACAGTCCCTAAAGAAGCCTGTTTTTGTGTTGCTTTTTCCATTACACCAATGGAAATCACAAAGCATGACATGCCAATAAAATAAAACATTAAAAGGCAAGATAAAATAGATTAAAATAAGATATAGGCTAAAACTAAATAGTAAGTAACCAGATTGTAAATCTGTAAACTGCACAAAGAAAGAAAGAAAGAAAGAAAGAAAGAAAGAAAGAAAGAAAGAAAGAAAGAAAGAAAGAAAGAAAGAAAGAAAAGTACACAAACTAACAGTAAAATGGACAGACTGAATTAGTGAGATCCTCTTTTTTTAATTATCTTAATAGTTCTGCAGAAATGGACAGCGCCATTAGTAGAACACTGCGGATAAGTGGTCCAGAATAAAGCCTCTTTATCCAAACAATAAAACCATTGAAGAGTGGATTTCAGAGGACAGATCGGTTTCTTTTTCCCCAGGCTTTTGAAGCACCATTTGAGAACTCCACCAGCAAACCACCTGAAAATGACTAGCAGAAAAGGTTCATGTTTCTTCCCACATGCAGTAACAGCTTAAGCATTGTAGAAAAAAAGTCATAACATAATAAGGTTTGAGGACTTGATTTTTTGGCCAGTATGAAACCTGCAAGTAATCCATAATTTTTTGTAGGTGCTGATCAATATACAACTGTGATGACATACAGAGGAAGAAAATGCTCTCCTCAAGCAGCAGAATTCACAGGACCAGCTTTATATGCTCAAAAGTAGCAAAATGATTTAACAAGGATTGCTTAATTAGGCCTATCTGTTGCAACTTGCAGATTCAAGTGGAAGTTTAAAGCTGTAACTCACTCCCACTGACACTTAGGACAACTACCTCTATCGATGAATTCATATCTCAGCTCAAAACCTATTTGTTCTCCCAATATTATCAGTTGTAATGTGTATCTGCTTCATGTATCGTTCACTGTGTTTGTATGCATATAAGGTCTACCTATATATGCTATCTACATGATGTGTTCTTTGTTATGAATTTGAATGTCTTTCACAATTTAATGCAACCGCTACATGCAACGGCACAGGCTCTTCTTCTGGACTGGGCACATGTGCATGGATTTACCTGACGCCTCATCATCTGTGTTTACCTGCCTTCAGTATGCCATCTTCTCATCAAATCATTGTGTACCTGCAATACCAAGAACTCTACAAGTTAAGTCTGCCATCTTGCCTGCCATCTGCTTTTAATAAACATCCGTTACCATGCACTCCTGTTATCTGTCCCTCTGTTACATGACAATCCTTCAGAAATCATTCTAATATGCTGAATTAGTACTCAAGAAACATTTCTCATCAAATTTGAAAACAGTTGTGCTGCTTAATATTTTTGTGTAAAAAAGTAATAGATTTTTTTCCGAATTCTAGATTAAATTCAAAAGAACAGCATTTATTTGAAATGGTGACCTTTTTGTGACTTTTAATCAATTTAATGTGTCCTTGTGTCACATAACGCTCAACGCCGCCTCCTCCTGGTTTCACCAGATCCCTCTCTCCTGCGTATTAGGACTTCATTTCCCTTCATCCTTCCCTGCTCATTATCTCCTGATTAACCATCCCATCATTGCATCAGTATCACATCTTGTTTTACCTACACGCTGTCTCTAGCTCGTTTTCTCGTATTTCTCTGATATTTGGACTTGGACTCTGTACTCGTTTTTGAACCTATGCTGCCAGCCCCTGACCCTTGCCTGTTTTGACGTACGTTTCTTGGATTGCCCTTACCAGTGTGCTGTGTTTGAGTTTGCTGCTGCCCTTGCCACGGGCTTCTGAGTTTTATGACTGCTTTCCTTTGTTGGCTTACCTGTATCAACACATTACTGCACATGGATCCGACCGCCTCAGCCTCTCCGTCACACCTTGATACAAGTATTTATTTCTTTAAAAAAAAAAAAAAAAAGATCTTACTGACCCAAACTTTGGAACAGCAGTGTGTATGTAATCATGTGCTGTCTGTCATGCAAGGTTAGGCACCCCATAGTCATGGCTGTTAGACAGAAGATAAGAGTAGGCAACAGTGTGATTAGCAGGGTGGGTCACTGTAACTTTACTCTTATGCAACACCAGCCAGATAATCTACAAAAGATCTGTATTATACCAATTGCTGTCTATATTTTGGAGGAATTTACAGGATATTCTGAAGATCC